ATTGAAAGCATTAGATTTTTGAGTTGCTCTCGTGTTAGTGTCAGGTTTTAGTGCTTTTTAAATCTTTGCTTCCAGAAAACTATCTTCTCTCTTCTAAAAAAATAAAAAATAAATATCAGGTTCATTTCAGAGTGTTATTGCTTGCAATATTGTCTCAAATGATCTCTTACCAATGTGCTTTGACTACGTTTGAGCAAATATGCAATTTATTAAAATCTCTCCATCATTCTCTGATTATAAGGTTTCCTGTATCTTATTCTACATCATTTCCGTCGTCGAGGACAATAAAAATCTCCACAGACAATTTACAATTTGTTGAATCAACGATTGCTAAGATATTATGTTGCATTGCTTTGCGCTAGTTCTTTATTATCGCAATATTATCCAGCAAAACACCATGAACATTAAGATTCATGCAATTCTTAGATTTAAGCGCACGAAAATGATTACCTTTTATTTTAGCGCTTCTAACTTCATAATGGGGATATGATTTTTCATTATACAGCACTGCGTCTTTTTTTTTTCTTAACTGTTTCGAAAGGGTAATCTATATAATTAAATATTACATGACTCGCATTCAGAATTACATCCACACCTTTGAAAATCTTGAGTTTTATTTATTTATTTGAGCCGAGATTGTAAATTTCTAAAAAGAAAACTGATTTCACTTTTATGAGTAAAATCCTAAAATTTCCGATAAGTAAATATACTAAAAGTAGGTTTTGATTAAGCCGTTTTAATTAAATGAACGTGGTAACATTTTAGTACCTCATTCCGGGACACGATTTGCCAAATATTCTTACAAGATGATCAAAATAATTCCCAGAATCAAAGTATCGAATTATAACTAAAATGAAAAAAAAAAAACTCTAAAATTTGTCACTTGCGTTTCTTTACATTTTTCAAAAGCCAAATACAATTATTTACATCTAATATGTCAGAGATCTCACATCTTCCCCCATATTATAGGTTCCCAAACTTTTTCTTTCTCTGGATCACATCTTCGGAATTAAAATTTGCTCGTTCCTCACCAAAGGAAAGCCCCGGTGAAAAAGCGCAAATCAGCCCAACAGGAAAGCAGGTCCAGACAGAGGGTTAAAGAGAGATAACCGCGGATTCAAAGTCAGAACATTATCATTGATAACTCTCTCCTCCAATTTGCAGACCCTAGTTACTATATTCTTAATACTTAATATAATGCAAAAATATTGCAATTAAAAAATCGGTCAATAATTATTTATAACTATTTATACTGAGACTCATGTGTGCAATTACAAGGAATCCATAATAATATTTTAAATTTTGAAATCATATATATTTTTGGCATATGAATTTTTTGAAAGTGTTCGTAACCTTTGATTTTCTTTCAATCATTCTGCCTCACCTGCTATCCTCTTCATCCGCACCTATGAGGCGCACGGCACCGTTTGAGAACCACTTCCTAATGCGAATGCCTAAAACATCTCCCGTTTCAAACTATTCAATAGTGTAAAGAGTTATGAAAATAAGCTTAAATCAATAATGACTGAATATCTTACTTGTATTTGATATTATTGCTTTAATCTACTAAATTCTTTTTCATGAATAACTTACGAATACAAATCTTATTCCTTTCGATGCAAGTTTTGTCAAATTAATTTTGAAAACATTCCAAGACAGATTAATCTATTTCCACGTGTCATGCCTCTTTCTGATATCTCGGTTATCTCCCTTTAACTCAACTCTCCAGGACACATGGCCCAATGGATAAAAGCGATGATTGGATCCAGTAACTTGACCTAAAGAGTTGTGAGTTCAATAACTTGCCTTCTTCAGGCCGGAGAGTAAAGCAGCCGAAACGTCGTAAATATGGCTTTTTAACCTTTTGCCGGTTATTCAGAGCCAGAATGTTTTGAGATTGTAAGAATTTGTGGGGGTGGATAATAATGATTTACCGATACACGTCTTACTAATTAGCCCCTATCTAGGGGGAATCGAGGAAGGTTCATACTTTTCCCAAGTGTATATAATGAACACGACTGGAATTGGAACTCGGCTCTCCGATTTTTATTTCTCAGCCGCCTGGCACATTTTTGATAAATTTACTTTTCGACTTACATAACAAGTTACTCTATGTACGAGTCAATTTGTACAGTCACCAACGAAAAAGTCATTTCATTAAGGCGATCATAGCCTTCATATATACGTCTTTGTCATCATTGCAAAATGAGGCTATATTTGATGATGATGTATATATATATATATATATATATATATATATGTGTGTGTGTGTGTGTGTGTGTGTGTGTGTGTGTGTGTGTAGTGTGTGTGTGTGATTCAAATATATATATATATATATATATATATATATATATATATATATATATATATATAGATATATATATATATATTTGAATCACAACCAGAGATTAATTTGAAATCAGTTTGTCACGAACTAATTTGCCAAGTATATTTAGAAGTTAACGCTATTGTTTGATAGGAATGCACTAATTTTATTTAAGGAATGTGAATATTTCATCAATTGGATAATTTATCATTTATGGTTTATACATATCTACCACCACAAAGAGCGTGAAAAGCGTGTATTGATCATGTACGTGTTATACAGACTATTTAAGAAAGGATATAGAAGAACTGATTAGCTTTTGTAAATCAGAGACTGGTAACAAAATATTTAAAAGCATTTACTACAATAATAGAAGAATGAGAAGTTAACATTTTCACGGGAGGAGAAGATGGTAAAAAATGCGATGATAGAGACCACATCACGTGAAGATTTTCAATAACGGCAACAACGAAAATTTAGCTGGAAGGGAATACAATGATATAATGAAAATGATCACTTTCCATACTAAGAAAAAGAAAAAAAAAACGAGACAAGAAACCTCAATCATCACTAGAATGAGCGATAACAGTTAATGGTCCTGAGGAGTCTATTTTCCTGTGGAAAAAAATACATATTTAAGAAAAAGATTTTATAAATTTCAACCGACATTAGCGGTAACTGTTTGGTCAATCAATGTCTAATGTTTCTTATATGGGAACGACTAATCTTACCATTACCATCAGATATTTTATATTTGTTATTTCTACTAACAATTTATTGATTTAAAAAGCAATTATTTCAGAAAAAAAAAGTTGAATATCAAATCGCTTGATTCAAGTGTTAATCTCACGACTTCTGCTAAGTATTTATAATACTTTGCTTGTTTTTAATAAAACATATAAACAATGTTAAAGAAGATTATCAGCTACTGTACAAAACGCAGTAAAATGATTTATAGAATTGTTCTCTTTAAAATGTTACAGAAAACCTTATTCAGTCACAAGTTAAAGCAAAATGCATTCAGAGTGTAAAAATAAAAATAATTGTATGGAAATTTAAATGTTTCACTTGCAAATGAATTTTTTGTAGCATTTTATCTTTTATATTTATGTTTATTTATTTTTTAAACGCATCTTCAAAGATTCAAACAACATAACGAATAAACGTAAGAATGTATTTGTGTGATACAGAATGGGTGCTAAAATTATGCGACAAGATTTTGTACTTTGTGTGAATTTAAATAAAATGAAAATAATTCCCCATATAAAAGAAAATCATTAATAAATAATTTGTGTCTGAGTAAATTTGCGATAAAATGACATAAAAAGTTAATTTGAAAGTAAATAATTCAAATTTAATTACAATTATTTTCTTGAGATTCTTTTAAGTTTAAAGAAATGTGTGTATTTTTACTACTACTTTTGTACAGCTGCTGATAATCTTGTTAAATATTGACTTCATGTTTTATTAAAACAACCAAAGTATTATAAAAGATTAGCATAAAATAGTGATCAAAGTCTACTTGAGTAGACAAACAAATGATTATCACTCAATCTAATATCCAACATTTGAAATAAAATTGGCCAAATGGCTACTTTTTAAATGGAGTGATCTTTTGTAGAAATAACGTAAGAATGCAATCGTCTCATGCATTCTTCTCGATAATTTCATTTTTATTTCCATTCCTTGTTATCTTTTATATAAAATTTCCTTCATTTTTGTTCTATTTATAGAAACCTTTACAGAGAGGGAAATAGAAAATATTTAGAGAAAGAAAGGAATTTCGTAAATGAGCTTTGGGAATATCCCTCATAAAAATATTTGAAGTTTGCGTTTTAGAATTGCCTTAAGATCTTCTGAAGAAATCTGATTTATTAAGAAATATAATCTTCTCAGAAACGCTGTAAAGCATCAATCTTTGACTGGCAATATTTGTAACGAGATTTAAATTCTATGGACTTATGCATCAAACATAAAACTAAATGTTGTTTAGCTTTTAATGTCTTTCTTCTTTAATTTTGTTTTTGGGTCAATGGGAAAATAGCAACTGCCATTCTTGTGGGGTAATGTTTAACGCCCTAGTTTGGCTGACCATTAATAATGACTTCATATCTCACTAGATGCCCCAGAGTTATGATCAAAACTAAGTATGCCAAAAATACAATAGTATTTTCTTTTAACTCAAAAAAAATCCCCTAATTTTGATTAGTTATTTCGGTGTTGTGGAATGAGGCCAGAAACTAAAATTAACTGATTTGGTGATTTTTATAAGTCTCATTCCGTGATAAGAGATTCTAGGTGTAATCAATACTTGATCCAGGATGACGCATAGACCAAACTTTAGCTCTAAGTTTGAATAATATTCACTTGGTTATTTTATGTAAATAAGGATCACTAAATTTAAAATATTGTAGCTGAAACTAAGCAACAGACAACGTTTTTCAGTCACTTGACTTAGTACAAGATATTTATAATTAAAATTCAACACTATGAATATTCATAAAAGTAAAAAGGGTTTTATTCGAATGATTAAATTAATCGCATTTCATCTCCAGTATAAGATATGGTTTGTCGCATGCAAATTGTAAAATTGTATTACATTAATATTGATTATAAATTGTCTTTTATTCCGCTTATCTCTTAGTCATTTTTTTATTATTTTCTATCATTGCAGAATAACGGGACCCCGTGATGCGTTGTTGGAGTCCCTGTAGCCTACTTGTCGTCATCGCCATCTACTGCCTCTCTTCGCATACGTCTGAAGCCTTTGATTTGGCCCAGGCATGCGTCGAGTCGCAGCGACTGAGTCTTCTTCCGATTTGTGATACAATCTTTGCTGTACAGCAAGAAGGAGCTCAGCAAAGTAAGTCATTTAAGATTGATACACTTTAATTAAGCATTAATGTCTTGTCTTTCATTACTTTCTCAATATTTTCTTGCTAAAAATTAATCTGAGGAAACAAAATCTGATTTTTTCAAAATAGAAATTCACTACTAGCAGACAGATTTGTAATGGTAGAATTGGTATCTGGGATTCAAACATCTAAGATGCGTATTTGATATTAGCACTTGTGGTTCGAACCCATCTAAAAACTAATTATTAACAGTTATTTAACACATGAACTTGTTTCTTATCTGCTTTTTCTATTCTCATTTCTCTTCTTGCCAGCTCATCACGCTTTTATCATTGATAAACTGTTGATTCTGTAGAATGAAATTGCTATTACCTGAAGTCTCTTCTTAATCAGTAAGGAAATTGTCCATCATTCACTGTCATATAATAAGACCGATATTACATAGGATTTCAGCATTTTTTTCTTTGTTTTTAACGAAATTGTTTCTTAATACTTTGTTAAGCTTTTAGAAGGCATCTTTCGCTATTATAATACGCCTTACTGAACATCTGAATAATGGAAAAGTTTGAAGGAAAATGATACTTAGAATAAAAAAGACACATACTTAGAATAAAAAAAGAGACAATTTATAGGTTACACATTGAGGAAAGTGGGCTCGGAGAATTTTACCCTCACACGACATATTAAAGGCAAGCCGAACAAAGAAAAACAACAAATAATCTACATTGCGTAAATGGTTGATAGAATATAGATTAGGAGAGATAGCAAAAGAAATACAGATGACAGGAGGTTGTGGAGATCCATAATCATCATTTCATGACGGGACATAGAAGAAACTGTTGATTCATTATTATAGGAATTTATCGTATTTCTCTTCTTCATACATGACTAAAAATATTCAACATTTAATTATTTATATCGCATTAACTTTTTGCGGGGATTTTCGCCAAATAAATTTAAGTCAAAAGACATCAAAATGGAATCTTCCATCCATATCTAGATTGACACAACTCAATCCCAACTTTCCAGCAAGGAAGTAAAGCCACTAAGACACAAAGGGTTACAGGGTGTGGAAGAATTAGGAACAGAAACATTACTAACGAGTAGAAAGAGATAGCGATTGATATTGTATTTAAATTTTGCTGATTAAAGTTGGCAGGAAAGCATGGGGCCAGAATAGATTTCCACACGCGAGAAGTGTGAGAAAAGAAACTGTTTACATAGAATTTACTGTTACATCCATCTAGCTCAATTGTAAATTGATAAGATCTCGACCCTTAAATTCAAAAAGTCTGGGTATTATATCGACCCAGACTGTCCTGTTATTCTGGGAGTAAAAGAGATAGATTCATACCTTTCCTAAAAGTTTTTGCGCGTAAGTGAATGCAACAAACTCGACTGGAATTCGAACTCAGCTGTCCGATTGCCAAAATGTACTGGTAGAAAATAAGTTATTATTATTATTATTATTTTTATTATTATATACACGCGTTTGAGTAGACGCTTCAGTCAGTCAGTATATAATTTCGTCTACAGGACTGAGTTTTTCGAGTCTTTCACGAAGAAAATGTCTCTTCCTACAAAATTCGATCCGGCGTCCCTATTATGTAAGAAAAAACACCGTACAGTCCGGTGTGCACCCTCTCTTTATTAAAAACTCTCAAAAGACCAAAGCCGGTAGACAAAAAAATATACTTAAAAATACAAAGTTGTCTACTCAAGTACATGCATTCATTTAATATAATGTATATAGTAATAATAAATAATGTCGGACTGTGGATAAAAGATCCATTATTCTCTCTCTCACACACACATATATTATTATTATTATTAGTAGTAGTAGTATTAAAAAAAACAGACGATTTGTGTCGATTGATTTTAATAAAGTGACGTTGGTGGAAATATTCGTCTAAGCGTAGGTGGCAAAAGTATATGGTACTAGGGATTCGGTACCATATATAATGTTGGCCTATACGATTAATTTAGAAACTGTTCTTTCCGTAAGCTTTTATGACAACTTTCTTTAGTCTCCCAACGGCTTCAATATTTGAGGCTAGTTCATTATCTAGTGTGGACATCGTATAGTCTAGAAAATAAATCAGTAGTATTCTAAACTTTCCATCGTGAATCAAAATTAATTGTTGAATGAGACAAAATTAAGTACAATATTGATTTACTGCTTTACTTATTACGCTTCCTCGCACCCTAATTTATTTCATCGACAATATTGCTTTGTTCCGGGAATGATTCATGTTGATCATATCTGAATTGCGGACGCTTGCTCGGGTTTGATTTTTGAAAGCGCTAGTCTACTGGACTTAAATTACTTTTGGGGCGTAAAATAGACATTAAGATTTGTTTTTTTGTTTTGTTTTTTATCTAAATAGGAATCCATCTACAGCGAAGATAAAGACCGCGATTAAAAGGCATTTTGATTTACTTTGGGAAAAACGAAAAAATTAAAAGTCAAGGAAAAAATTGGTTATATATGACTATATATAAATATTGGTATTGTATATTTTATAAGTATACAAATAATGTTTGACGTTGTAGTAAAAGAAAACTAAAACTTCAAAATGATCAGAGCCTGACAATTTGGGAAATAAGCCTTTGAAAATTTGAAGTTCAAAATCCAACAACTGGCAGAAGATGTATAACAGATTTATCAGCTACAAACAAGGCATAGAAAGATACTTACAGACCGAAGAGGGAAGAGAGGGGAAAAAGAGAGATATATACTCCCCATACATATATATATATATATATATATATATATATATATATATATATATAATTTTTATATATAAAAGTGAACATTGAAGTCAACACTCAGAGGCGACAGACTGTTTTATGCTAGACGCAATCATCAGGCCACATCATGTGATGATTGCATTTAGCATGAAACAGCCTGTCCCTTTGAGTATTGACATCAATGTTCACTTTTATATTTACATACTCTATCACTGATATTGAGCACTTTTATCCCATGGATATAGCACACCTTAAAACTATATATATATATATATATATATATATATATATATATATATATATATATATATATATATATTTTTTAATCTTTTATTTTCTTATTGTTCAAAATATATATATATATATATATATATATATATATATATATATATATATACACAGGTGTTCAAAATATTGACATCAATTTGTAGTCTAGTAACATACCCAATTCCTGCTCAAATGATCTCAAATTCTAATAAAATGTTTAAACACCAAGTTGACAGTGTGGACTTATCTCATTGGGAAACTACCAGGAAGATCGATTTGGCGTGCCAGTGATAATTACAATGCGATGTTCACCTGACTTGTCATCTTCCGATTTTTTTCTATGGGGTTATGGGAAGAGATGTCTTCCTATAAGCTTAGAGGAACTTAAAAAGAGAATGAATGAGGCGCTAAAGAATGTTACGCAAGACATGCTACAGCGTGTTTGGCATGAGCTGGGCTACTGAATGACGAGTATCGTGTTACAGGTGGTGCGCAGAGTGAACATTTGTGATGCTTTGTGAAATCGGTTATAAAATCTACATCCCTTTGAATATATTGTTGGAATTTTGATAAATAAATCTTTTATTTTTAACTATAAAGCCTATTTAATTTTCTTTAACCGGAACATGTAGTTACTCAGATATTCACATTTTAAATGATGTTAATTTGGGAGGACACTCTGTATATATATATATATATATATATATATATATATATATATATATTTTTATCTGTGTGTGCGTGTGTGTGTGTATTGAGAGAGAGAGACGAATTGACTTCGATAAAATGATAAACAGTTGACTTACATACGCAGACATGAATATATATGTATATGGATACTTTGAGAGAACGAGATAAAGACGAATAAATTCAGAAAGACTGAGAAATATGTGTGCGTGTACGTGTGTGTATATGCGTGTGCATGCATATAAATCTGGAGCATTCTTCTCCTTTGACGCTACAATAACGCGAACTTATCTTTAAGAAGAGATTTGGGGCTTTGCTTTGCGATATTTATCCTATCGATTTTAGACGAGATGCACTAGAAATCGGGCGAGCGTTTATATCAAACCAAACATAATAAATCGTTGATAAATAATTTATGAATAATATCAATGATGAAAGAGTTAATAAATTTCGTTTTAATTAGTAAATGAAGTGCCAATCACTATTGATAAACATTTTTTTTTCAGAAGAAGCAATGGATCACCCCAAAATATTAATTCGCCTCAAAATAAAAGAATTCATATTTGCTCAAATTCTCACTAAATTCTACCAGAGTAAGGCCCTTCCATTGCCCTCCGGTTGGGTTGACCTTTGCAATCGCCTCAAATATTGGTGACTTGTAAACATCTCGAATATCCTTGTAAACATCTCGAATATCATCCGCACTTATGAAATGTGAATAACTTCTCCTGATTTTTGGTAATTTTTCATTCTGAGGGTTGAAGTTATTGCGAGACATGCTAAACAAATTTTGATTTAAATTTTCTAATTTCAAAAGAATGCCAAAAATTTAATAAAAAACCAAACTTTGATTTAAAATTTATAATTTCTTGGGGGTGAATTAATATTTGCTATAAGTAACTTTACATTATTTTGGGGAAATTAACAGAAAAATCCAATCGATATTACTTATATACTACAACAAAACTTAAAATGCTTTCTCAAATGTATTCGTCAGCTACAAATTGATTTGCTCCTCCAGTCATATTATCCATGTGGGAGTCGTCGTCTTCTTTCTTTTTGCCTTGACATCGCGAACAGATATCGAGGAATTGAACCGTCCTAATGTAGGTCCGTTGATCAGTCCAGTGTCGAACAGACAACAAAATGGCTGAATGAGAAGGGGAAGGTTTCATCCAGGATTGTTGCCGTGGTGACAGGGTTGGCGTGGTTTTCCCTCGTTATCTTCTTCTTCTTCATCAAATCAGTCCCTGCGTTCATTGTTGGAGTAAAGACGGCTCCACGGACAATAAGTCGCTAGGTC